CAAATTGGTTCTGAATTTCATTAAAGAAGGAAACAAATATAGACAAAAGTTCAGAACGATCTTTCATTAAGTATACCCAAGTACAACGAGAAAATTCATCAATAAAGGTTACAAAATATCTGAAACCAAAAGATGTTACACGGCTTGGACCCCATATGTCAGAGTGAATGGTGGTAAAAACTGAGTTACACCTTTTTTCAGTTTGTTTGGGAAAGGATGATCTAACATGTTTGCCTAGTTGACATGACTCACAACCTAACTCTTCCAATGTTTTGAGACTAGGAACTAAGAGTTTCAACTTGGACAAACTTGGATGACCCAAACGGAGGGAGTCAGGGGTGCACCAAGATACAGACTCCATTTCAATTGATATGAGAAACGAGCGACCATAGTAGAGATACAACTGGTCATAAACTATGTCTATAAAGTTCACTTCCAAATCATAATCCTAGGGGATATTTTACTTCAAGGCAACCATTTATATTTATACATTACCTACATAATGGAAACACCTTGAAAGCATGTACCTACTACCTAGTCAAGCAAAAAGCGCATACAGTAACTCATTCTTGGACCAGTGAAAATGAAATTATATATCACAAAAGTATAACAATTTTTCTTCTATGGGTATGAATTACAATAACAACTACAAGATTCATACCACCCTAACTCTCACCACTAAGCCGTCAGTAGTGCTGACCCTAATGGTTCACAAAAGTATAACAATAAGACCATTACGCATCGAATGCTAGAATCAAAGCCCAAGTACATACTAAGTTGAGGTAGCGAGCTTGGCAACTTACCCTAAGTTCCGAAGGTGTCTTCTTTTTAGCCATGGATCCACTTTTCAAAGCCCCTGAGCCAAGTCGATGAGAGCTCGGAGGCACGGAACTTGGTTTTGCCACTTTTGCCATGCCTCGCTTGGGAACACCGTCGCCACGCGCACTTCACCGACCAAAACGCCTCATCGTGGTTAATCTGTAAGGGTAGAGTCAGTAAGCATGAAATATTTGCGATAGAAACCACAAATTGCACAAATGTTGGGCGTTCTGAATGCGAATGCTACAAATTATGAGCGCAAGAGCGTAGGTTTTGAAAAATAATTTGAATAGGAAAAATGCGAATCGAAAACGCGAGGGAATAGAAGAAACCTAATCGATAGGCGAATGTTGGTGTCGTGTGAGTTTGGCGCGGGAAGGGAAGAGGGTAGAGACCAGAGAGGCAGAGACAGTGAATGGAGAACAAAGCGGTACCTGTTGAAATTGGTTTAATTTTTTGTGCGTTTACATTTTAAAACGAAATTTGATTTCCCTCCTGTTTCTCACGCCGTTACAGCACCGTTGCACATTTTGTAACTTTTTATATTGGGCTGCCCTGCCTCAGGAGTCAGGGCTTTCATGATCTTCTACCAAAATAATTTACACTATTTATTCCAAGGAACAAATCGATTTTAGTATGTGGGCCCCAACAAAATATTTCTTCGCTCCTTTATTATTGTAAAAATAAAAATGCATTACTATTATTCTTTTTCCACAATATTTCTCGTTGTCGTTGGCTCTAAGATTAATCCTAATAATATGACCGTAATAAATAATATTTTAAAATTTAAATTTATAAAAAAGTAAAAAATGTATATCAAACATCCTAATCTATTATATTCATATCAGAGTACCCCTTTATTACGTTGCTAAATAAAAATTTGCTTGTGGAAAAAATACACCTATGCTAAATTGATCCAAAAGTGTTTTAAACTAAAAGAGTCTTTGCTAGATGTTTTGACTAAATAGCGATGCATAAATTACAGCGAGAGGCGAAGCCCAACCCAATTAAGTTGTAGAAATGGACCTTTCTATCGGATTTAGATATGTTTATTTTGAATTATTATAAAATGAAATATATGATATAAACAAATTTTTAAAAGTAGTACTTATTGATAAGAAAAAAGAAGTGTAAAAGATTTTACAAGATCGATCAATTAAAAATTAATTATAAATAAAAATATATAATTAATTGTATATAATGAAAATATGTGTGTTTTTTCTTATCCTTATACATAATTAATTATATACGGAACATATATTGCATTATCTAGCACAAAACAATATGTAACATTAGCAAAAGATTTGAACATTAACAAACCAATTGCCAATATGGGAGGACTTTGGTGGCTTGGAGTTTTGGAAAAGAAAAATGAGCGCATCTGAGTATATCACTTACAAGTTACACCTTCTGTTAGATCATACAGTTGGCGGTAACATCACACTTCATTATGGTTGGTAAATGGTAATATATATATATATATATGACACTACTCATTTAAATAAAACTCTTTTTTTAAAAAAATTTAAAGATATTTTTAACCACTATTTAGTTTTTATACATACTAGTATTATCTTATATGGTGAGTATATATATTTTCAAAATATTAAATATATTTATTTTTAAGAATTATTATTTACACAACCATATTTAAAATTATGCATTGTTAATACAAAGTACTTTTACACCGTTAATTAATTACAAATTTATCACTGTTATATCTTTTTTAATTATTCATCTTATAAGTCAACAAAATCATATGTAATAATTTATAATTATATGATAATATAAAATTATTTTACATTATCTATGTAGAACCATTTTTTTCTAAAATAAACATATGTTTAAGAAAAACTTAAACATACAAAATCTTTATCTCATAATTTAAATTTAAATTTAACTCAATTATATAAAATTAAGTTTGTGACTTAAGAATTTTTTTTTATTATTTTATAATGAGTGACTTAAGATAGAGATAAGAGATATTTTTTACTTTTTATATATTATTTAATTATATCATATCTCTCGCATTTATTATCATCATTAAAACCAGAAGAAGAAAAAATCTCGAACCAATCATCCAACCAGATTTCATTGTCAATTGACTAACACCATTCCGTCAACACTTGGTTTTCCCTAAACTAATGACTACCTATTTTGTCTATATCACTTCATTAGGGCACTAGACATTAGGGTTGTGTTTGTTTTATTGTTTCAACGTCAATTTTTCCACTTTTCAAGATAGAAATATAGAAGTAAAAGAGGATAAATCGACGTTTAATTGTTTCAATGGAACGTAAAAACAAACACATATTAATTGTATTGTCTAAAAAGAAATGAAGAATGAAACTAGTTGGTAAGAACATACTGAGACGAAAATGCGTACGTTACAATGAAGAATGAGGCTTGATTTTTGTCACTCAAAAGTTGGTATTTTTATTGAGTTTAGTTTATACACCATAGATCTATGAAAAAACTTCATTTGATATTTGATATTTTTCACTTTAGAACCAATAAGTAATATAAAAAGTTTGCTGTTTTTAATGTCATACATGGTTCTCACATAAAAAGTTAGACTT